GAAAATATTTTTTTTTTATAAAATTTAGATTATATTCAAAAGTTTTAGTTAAACTTCAATATGGAAGTGAGTTAAATAAATTATTGAAAAATAATGTGCGTTCAAAAACATAGTGTTTTTCAATATTTATTTCACTGAATTTCTGATTAAATTTTAAGCCAAAAATCTGTGAATATAATATACACTTCACGAATAACATATTTGCAACATTTCATATAAAAAAATCACCGAAAAATACCTCAATTCGGACATCGGTCCCCATCAGAACTACGGACATGAGGACATGTGTAGCATAATTTTTTTAACCCCAGGTGAGTCGAGGGAGGGGGCTGGGGGAGCCCGAACTAAACACTGCTGTAACTCGCTCAAAGGAGTCTCGAACTCGAGACCTCCCAGGTGGATAGTAAGTCGGAGACTAGTTGAGTTCGACCACTTCATCATATAATTTTTATTTGAGAAAAGGATCAAACGAGGTCTTCTCCTGTTATGAAATCGTCACATAAGATCATATACTCAATAAAGTTTCATATAAATACGTCTACTTATAAAAAACAATCGGATGAGTCATAACGACCTGTTGACAACCTCATGATCACGGTTTAGCGTACTCTGATTATCTTTTTCAAATAGATTATAAGGCTTATGTGGAATGTTTGACTAGGATTGACTTAAATACAAGGCAAAAATAATGACATGTAAGTTAAATTTGGGATTAAGAGGTTATCAACGGGTCATTTTGGCTCATGTGGTTGCTTTTTATAAGTGGACGTATATATATGACATTTTATTGAGTGTGTGACCTTATGTGATTATTCCTTAATCGTGGAAGACCTTATCTGACCATTTTCCCTTTTTATTTTTATTTCTGCACTATCAATCAATAAAGTCAACTTGCATATTTTATACATATCGGGTTTGTAAAACATTACTTAAATTATTATAAGCAATATCCATTTGTTGTTGTGTTCTGAATAACTATAAAATTCTAAAATACACATTTCGGTATACAAAAATTAAAATTTGATTTATTTATCTTTCTTACATTTTTCCATTCAAAAAAATTAAACATAAAGGGTCTAACACTACCCCTATCTCTATATTATCAATAATTTCAAAATAATTGCTCAAAATTTAAATAAAACATAAGCAAAATTCAAAATAAGATTATATAACTATTTCCTTCCCTAAATGGGAGACTTATAATCTTATTTTAAAAAATAAAAGAATAAAAACTTCCCTAAATAGAATTGCATACGAGTCCTATTTTAGAAGAAATCAATTATGATTTATATATACTCCTATTTGAGAAAAAGTAATACTACGTATGTTTTACTCACAAATACTACTTAGTTGATTTTCTCTACTATGTGAATATATGGTTTTCCTTACATTTCAACATCATCAATAATATTACTTTGTGAGTTAATAAAAAATTACTACAATAGTTTGAAGTAAAAATTCAATTATCTTCTTACGAAAATGCAATTAAATTATTTTAACTATTGAAAAATTCAATTTGGATCGTTGGATCAACTTTTCCCACCCCAGGCACCCCACACCCCACCCACCTTTTATTTTTCTTTATAAGGGAGTCAATTGAGGATGGGGAAATCCACTCCATACTCTCACTACTCCATATAATCACCCCCAAAATATCATCAATGCAGTTTGCACATAAATAGGATTCGATAATCTCATTTTTCACATTTTTTTCTTCATAAAAAGGCCCAATGTAAATGGTCTAACGGGAACGTCCACTCAACTTCTTAGTTGGCTTATGTGATAGAAAATCACCTATGTCATAACAAACTAAATCAAGTACCTAGAGACTCATCAAGCATCAGGGCCAGGGTATCAGCCAACTTGTCAATAGCATCATTACCCTTCATAGCCATAACTGTAGTGCTCACAAAGTCAGAGAAATCTTCTGCATACTGGTCAAGAGTGTTGTACACGGCATGGATATCCATTTCATCCAAATCTTTTGCGTGTCTTATCTGCGAGCATAGCTTCTTCCAATTTGGTCCAAATGCCGATAGGAATCTCACATTCAGCTGCATGTTGAATTTATGAACACCTATCTTTCTCATTTCATTGATGAGGTGCATAAATATGATGTAAGTATCTTCGAGCGATTCTCCGAGTTTGGCTTCAAGCGAAATCTTTCCTTGCTTTCACTCCTATCTCAGTCCTCTGCATGATTTTGAAGATTTCATCCCACATCTCCTTTGGAGTTGACATACTATCAATCTGCATGTAGATGTCGTTCAGGATGGCCTGAAGCAGGGGGGTCTTAACAAGGAGATCTGCACGGAGTCTAGCTTTGTCTTCATCATCATATTCTTCAGCAGTCTTGGGTCTCATTCCATCACCAACGGGAGGGTTATTTTCTTCATTCCTATCAATAACAATCAGTAGCTCAGCGGGGCCATTAGTTATGGAATCCAGCAGTCTAGAAGCTTGGTCCTTGCTCTCTAGGAAATTAAGAAACCTGTTTTTCCACACATCGTACTCGCCTCTTTGCAAGATTGGGGGTTTAGTTTCGTTTCCGATTGAAAGAGCATCCATATTGGATTTGATTGGGCTAATAAGTTGATTGTTGAGTTCCTGTTTTTGTTTAAGTGCAATTTCCAGCAGTAAGTTCATGCATTGTAGGTTCGCGCACAACGGGGTCCACACACGGAGATCTTTCGCGCACGTCAAAGGATTGCACATGGAGGTTCGCTCGCCTGGTTTGCGCACAGAGAGCTTCACGCACGCCTAGTTTGGCGCACCGGCTGACTTTTGCGCACAAAGGCTTTCTCGCACGAGGAGACCACGCACAGGGGATTGCGCAGCTGTTGTTTACGCACGAGATGTTTGCGCAACAAGGATCCTTTAGCACGGGGAGAAATCACACAAGGAAGATCACGCACAACAACCTTTTCACGCAAGGAGGACCACACATGGAGAGATCACGCAAGGAATTTTCAGCTTAAACTTTGCACATAACTTCTTTCGTGCAGGAGAAGAAGTTCGCGCACAAAGCTTATGCGTGAAACTTTGTTTCGCGCTCAGAGAGATGCGTGAACCTCCAACTTCGCGCTTCCTCGGCTTAACCTGTACGCCAACAAAAAGAGTGTCGATATTTCACAAAATGAAGCACAACAATCACAATAACAGTATCCCAAACTCATTTTCCTGCAAAAACAACAACAAAAACAGTACTGAAAGTCGCGCAAGAGGCAGAAAAATGCCAATGGGGTTCGCGCACGACTATTTCTTCCGTCTTCAATCGAACGATCAGCTCCGGCTCTGATACCAGATGTTAGGTCCCTGTTTTCTAGTCTATAATGTATGAAAACAGATCAAAGGGGATGAAGGAAGCTTTCCATTGAAGAGATGAAGTTTACGTAATGATATTGCAACTTAGTATAAAACTTCTCTCGTGTAAATAGGCTCTATGGCTCTCAGGTGGAATAATTCTTAGAAAACTTAACATAGCCATTCCTATGAGGTCTATTTATAGCCTCCTTAGAATGGTAGGTTTACAATGATATGGGCTCTCCTTTTGAGGAGTCTCATTCCTATTTTAGCTCATTAGTCCTTTTCATTTAAAGCCTAATAATTACACAATAAATACTACAAATAGGCTAGATAAAATACATTGATCATAATACTAAAAATATCACTAACAGCTTTCAAACGCCGTTGCGTGCTCCCCTTCTCGTCGCGGCCGTTTGAGTTCTCTGACTGAGCCGCTACCCTTTTTCTTCTCTTTTCATCTCGTCTGCAATTCTATCTTCGTCGATTTGGATCACCTTCATCATTGTCATCTTCGATGGAGTCACCGTCGCTCAAAATCCGTCCAAATCTGTAAATTTCCAGCGGCTAGATTTCCAGATTCAGATGGTTAGGGGTTTGGTTGGGTGGTGGGGCGGTGGCTGACGGATGTAGGGGACCGATGAGGAACCGACGAGCGGCAGTGACAGGGGCGGACCGGGTTGTGCTTGAATGAGTGGGAGTGTGCGCTGTGGAGGCGGTGGTGGGGTGGTGGTGCCGAAGGGGTAAGGGGGTAGGGATGGGGTAGTGGAGAGATGGGTGAGGCAAGGGGTTTGGTGACACAGGGAATGGGGTTGGATGAGGTAGGGGTTGGGTTACGGTGGTCACCAGCGGTGGTTTCCGACTGTGGTCGGAGGTGGTGGCCGCCGTCGGTGGCCGGTAATGGTAAATGGACCAACTCGGTTGGTTGGATTGGATAACTATAATTGGTCGAAATTGGGTAACTATAATTGACGCATTGGGTAATTATAAGTGATTGGTCGTGTAACTATAACCGACGAATCGAATAACTGTAACTGTAATGAATTGGATAACTGTAATTGGACAGACGGGTGAGAGTCACTTTGTTAATTGGTCACTGAGCGGTTTCACTATAAAGTTGGTAACTGTAACAGTTCATTTATTTAGTTTTATAAGGGTGAAATGGTCTCTTAACTCTTTTTAGTCACATTTTTGGAAATTAAAACAAAAAGTCACTTTTTTTGTCCATTCTCTGTTTTTTTAAAAAAAAAGGATGACACCCCATCCCTGAGGGCCCCCCAACACCGACCGGACGGCACGATGGGAGGATGTAAATTGGACTATAATCACAATCTGACAGATAGAGAGTGGGGCTCTGTCCCCGGTACTTACAGAGGTCCTATGCATTTTTCAACATAGTAACCCCTCATCGTAGTTGCCGGGATTCGAACCCGAGACCTAACCCTTGTGGCACTCCCTCGCTACCAGTTGAGCTACGCCCACCGGTCCATTCTCTGTTTTTTAGCAATATCGATGGCAAAACCCCTTATTAAAAAAAGAATAAAATAAGAATAATGAACCGCAGTAAACTTTATCAAGTATAAAGTGAAACCCGATAATGCTGAAGTATTACATACGGAGTAAAAAAGTCCATAGTCATGTTTGAGTCAATATCTCTCTCCGTTAAGTCTCCGGTATGGCCGTATCTATGTCTGTGAGTCTGTGAGTCTGCAACCTAAGTCCTCACCCGCTCTGTCTACGGCTCATATCCACTGTAAACCACCAAAACCTCCATTAGCAACCTGAACCTTAGCCTAAAACCCTAAGCTTCGGTACTGTCACCGCACTCAACAGCTCCACTAGACAATTACCATTACTAAACGTTCTCCTTTACGCACAATGAATGCTTGTAGCTGGCGTGTACATGGAGCGGATTAAGAAAGCCATTATTTTTATATTCCATAAATTGCTTCATCGCTCGTCGAACCATGTTCGTTCTTTTCCATCGATTATCGCATATCAGACACAGAGGCAAATGTCACCGTGTAAGCCCAATTTCGTACAATTTCTTGATGTTTGTTAATGATTTTATTTGCTTTTCCCACTGCTCGCTGGCCAGAAGCACCAATTATAGTACTTCTGAGGGAGCTTTCTTGGATGCCCAAATGATAAAGAAAATTGTTCATGAAGGTAGGTGGGATGATTTTGGAAGATTGGGACTCTGTGACTCTGATTTAACTTCCACTTGGGTCTCCAGAATCTTGGTGGAGTTAAAACAGGAACCTAAATTAGCTCTTAACTTGTTTAATTGGGCAAAGGCACGGAGTTCATTTCATCATACCACAGAGAGTTATTGTCTGCTTGCTCACATTCTGTTCTGTTCAAGAATGTATAGTGATGCAAGCGATGTTCTAAAAGAACTGATTAGTTTGAACAATGGAAATAAGGCGGCTTTACTTGACATCCTGTGGTCAACTAGACATGTCTGTGTTCCTGGTTATGGGATTTTTGATTCTTTTTTCAGTGTATTAGTAGAACTGGGATTTCTAGACGTTGCATATAGGTGTTTTTTGAGGATGAGAAGTTTCAAAGTGTTTCCTAAAACACGATCTTGCAATCATCTTTTGGATAGACTTATAAAGGCAGGAAACCAAGTTATGTCCTGGAATATTTTTGAGGATATGATTGCTTCCGGACCTTCCCCAAACGTGTACACATATAATGTAATGATTGGTTATTTGTGCAAAGAAGGGTACTTGGATGCTGCAAGAAGATTATTTTTACAGATGAAACGGAACAATGTTAGTCCCGATATTGTTACATATAATTCTCTAATTGACGGGACTGGAAAGTTAGGGGAGCTTCACGAAATGATTTCTATATATGAGGAAATGAAGGAAGCTGGGTGTAGTCCTTGTGTAGTAACATATAATACAATGATTAATTGCTTGTGTAAATATGACAAAATGGACAAGGCATTCAAATATTTGAATGAGATGAAGAGCAGTGGTATAAAACCCAACATAGTGACTTATAGCACATTTGTTGATGCTTTCTGCAAAGAAGGGATGCTGCAAGAAGCCTTTAAATTTTTTGTGGACATGAGGCGAGTTGGTCTGCTTCCCAATGAGTTCACTTATACATCCTTAATTGATGCAACCTTTAAAGCAAGGAAGATGGACGAAGTTCTGAAGCTAGTCAAAGAGATGTTGGAAGTGGGACTCAAGCTCAACATTGTTACCTACACAGTATTACTAGATGGTCTTTGTGAAGAAGGGAGGCTTACAGAAGCTGAAGATGTTTTTAGAATATTATTAAAAGACGGGATAATCCCTAATGAAAAGTCTTTCACTGCTCTAGTGCATGGGTATATGAAATCAAAAAGATTGGAAGATGCTATGAATATTTTGGAAAAAATGGAGGAAAATAATATCAGGCCAAACGAGTTACTCTATGGAACTGTTATATGGGGACTTTGCCAACAAGGGAAGTTTGAAGATGCAAAGATTTTTTTTGATGAAATGGAGGGGAAATGTATTAAAGCTTCTTCTGTGGTATTCACCACACTCATTGATGCTTTCTTTAAGGCTGGAAAATCCATAGAAGCACACAATATGCTAAATGAGATGCAAAAGAGAGATATTACCCCTACCGTGGTGACATATTGCACATTAATTGACGGTTTGTGCAGTTTGGGTTTCGTACAGGAAGCAATTGATCATTTCAATAATATGCCAAACATTGGTTTGCGACCTAATCTGATGGTTTACACAGCACTTATAGATGGACTCTGTAAAAATGCATGCCTAGAGGCTGCCAAAACCCTTTTTAATGAAATGCTTAAGAAAGGTATACTTCCGGATAAAGCTACTTACACATCTCTGATTGATGGAAACATGAAGCAGGGAAATGTGCAGGATGCCTTGTTTTTAAAGGAAAGAATGATTGAGAATGGTATTGAACTTGACCTTCTTGCCTACTCGTGTTTGATTCGGGGTCTTTCAAGGAATGGTCAAGTGGAACAAGCAAGATGTTTTCTTGGTGAGATGATTGAGAAGGGTATTCTTCCCGATGGAGTTATTTATCGGTGTCTAATAAGAAAATACTATGAGCTTGGCAATACAGATGAAGCTCTTTTCTTGCAGAATGACATGATGAAGAGGGGTTATGAATATGGCTGATGTTCAAATATCATCTTGAGTTGGTAATTAAGAGAAACTCATTCGTCCAGAATGATATAGTGACAAATGCAATTTACAGCTATCACAATTCATAAGAGATTTTGCTGTTCAACTTCAAAATAGAGCCCTGAGAGTTAAAATTTGTCTCAGCGTTTTCATGTGAATTGGAAGAGTGAAACCCAAGAAGCTTATATTGTTTCTATATCCACACTCTGTGATCTTCAAAGCTGCGGTGAGTATTGCATCTCTGTTGCTGAAAGTTTAGGCCCTACTGTTCCAATTTATTTTTCTTGACCTTCAAGACTTCTACATCTCTCTTTACTACGTAGTATTATTTTTTGAAACCTAAAGTATATATTTAAATTTAATTTTGCATCTCATCTCAAGAAGGCAAGCTTCATGCTTTTGAAGGCTCTATTTCAGTATTTTGGGATCATAATAGTTTACCAGGATATAATTATTCCGTATTATTTTTCTGTCATGGTTAAAGATGGCGAGAACAATTTTGTTCACCCTCATTTAAGAGGGTTATGTTCACCTCCATCCCTATTTGCCTGCCATGTGGCAAGGCAATACTTTACAATTTGACAATTGTTTTATCTTTTTCTTTTTCAATCAATTTTAAAAAAAAAAATATATCAAAATTTTTCTTTTTTTACGATCTTTCATATGGTACTAATATTGCATATAAAAAAATTTTAAAAAAAATCAACTAAAAATAGATATTTGGAAATAAATGATTTTTTTTCCAAATTTTTATATATACAAAATTAGTAACATTGGAAAGATCATAAAAAACTAAAAAATCTGATATGTTTTTTTTTATAAAAAATAGACTACAAATAAAAAAGTTATAACATTTTAAAGAAAAAATGGGATGAAATGCCACATGGCAATCATAGAGCAAAGGGGGTTATGTTCACCCTCCTTGGTGGGGGTGTACAAAATTGCACTCAAAGATGGCTAGGAAGTTGCTCAGAATAGCAAAAAAATCCCACCTTTATACTCCCTCCGTCCCAAAAACAACTTCACAGTTTGACATTCACACAGATTAAGAAAATAAATTTGACTTTACTGTGGAGTGCACTGTTTTGCACTGTTAAACACTGTTTGACACTGTTTGGACACTATTTGGCACTGTTTTGATGTATATAATTTGCCAAATAAAGAAAGTATTGAAGTGTGAAGTTAATTTTGGGATATCCATTTAAGGAAAGTGGGAAGTTGTTTTTGGGACGGAGGGAGTAACTACCCACATGCAGTGAAGATAGTTTTAACTGACAACTCCCATTCACCTGTGAATGAATCAAGTCTAGTGTGAATGAATCAAGCTGTGGCTATGTAATCATCATGTTAAGGTAGAAGGTACAAGACTGGTCCATGGACTGATAGAACTCAGCGGAAGGTAAGCAAATTCAGCTATGGTGTTTTTCGAAATTAATTCACATCCACTCTATGGGATTCTCACCTTATGGAATTAACAACTTCACTGCGTAGGGCGTGAGGTGAATTAATTCCAGAAAACATCATAGCTGAATTTCTGTCAGCTAATCTAATACTAAGAGTGATTCCTAGAAGGTAGAGGATTCATTCCACTACTAATAACATTCATGCTGCATGTTGATCACTTGTATTTTTTGTGACCATTTTTTCTTCTGTGTACAGGGAGTGCAGTTTTAGCTTTTGAGAAGTCGGGCAGTCCGAGAATAATGATTACAGAATGGAACTGCTTGTTCCAATAAAATTGACAATGGCCACATATATGCAATTAGTTTGATCTTTAGGTATAAGTCCTTCAAATAGCACATTTTGACCCCTCCATGCCCGTACTTACTCTTCGTTTGCTTATGTGATGTTTTAATTAGAATTTTCCAATGCTGCAGAGGGGTACATGTCTTGTTGATGTACATCTTTGCTTGTGGTGATGTTTTAATTATTATAGAGCCCAACACTTGTGGGGCTATTTTGATGACCCCCCTCCTCCACACAAGGGCGCTCCCCCACCCCCACTGCCCTTGCCCTAGGCAGGGTTTGACGAGGCATATCACAGGAGTGGAGCTCAAAGACTGTCAACTTGTCAAGCTCTCCATATCCACCCTTGATCAACCGGGGTGAACAAGCATGCTGCGTATCACTACTTGCGGACATGAAGATGGTGGCGGAGCTGAGTTTTTGGGTTGCAGGGGCAAATTTATTGGTGTGGCTAAAGTTGAAGTCTTATTAAATTTATACATAAAATGCGTAGATATATGTCTTGTAAACAAATTTGGGATGACAAGAATGTTTTTACTTGGACTTGTTTCAGACCAGACCCGATTAGATTTTGGCAATTGTAAAATACACAGAGACCGGACATTTACCAGACCAGTTCGGAGTATATTAGATCAGTTTAGATCAAATCAGAAAATTTCAGTATACGTAAAATCATCCCAAGGAGGAAGAGCGGGTGGCCCATGGTACAACTTCAAAAAACTTATGGAAACCCTTTCAAATAATGATTTGTACATCAGTTTGCAAAACACTAATTTCTTTATTTTGCAGCAAGTTTTTTTTTTTTTTTTTGAAATTAGTTCCCGGGTTTCAAGATTTAGACATTTCAAACTTCATATAACGACACTTCTCTTTCCTCAAGATACTACTAACCACATACACATTCTCTACATTTTGTATCCTTTCATATTTTCTTAATGGAAGCAACAAATTAGCGTGTTTTTCATCTCTACTGGTAATTTTGAAAACCATTACATTATACGTAGTACTAGGGCTGTTAACAAGCCGAGCCGAGCCCGAACACCTAAAGCTCGAGTTCGGCTCGATAAGGAATTAATGGTGTTCGGGTTCGAGTTCGAAGCTCGACGAGCTTTACAAATGAGGCTCGTGTTCGGCTCGATAGACGTTCGATGTTCGAACCGAGCGCTCGATAAATTTGGTCGAATTTAAAATTTTAGGTGATGCTCGTTAATAGACTCGTGCTCGAATGATTCGACAAGTATTCGGTTCGCTAATAATCATATTTAAATCCATAAAATTACACTAATTATAATTAAATTTTGATTATATATAAATTATATTTATAATTTCAGGATGTTCGAGAGGCTCGAGTTCGAACCGAGCCGAATATTACTATGTTCGAGCTCGGCTCGATTAATTTTTCGAACTTAAAACTTAGCTCGGGTTCGAGTTCGAAAGCTCGTTAAGCTCGGCTCGTTAGGTTCGAAACCGAGCTCGAACCCGAATAGCTCGATAAAAGCTCGGTTCGTTAACAGCCCTACGTAGTACGCAATAAAAAATACTCTAAATTTGACTTTAGATTGCAATATGTGTGCATTTAGCAATAATTTTAATGAGCATATAACATTTTAATGATGCCAAGTATTTGTGATCACATGACATCATTGTGATACTTTTAAGGAATTTTATTAAACCAGAACTTGAAAGATAGACAAATTATCTTGAAATGTATTGATATAAGATCCGAATGATTGAAAGCTATCAATCTAGGATCTGAATGATTGAAAATCATTAATCTAGGACTCAAGTTGTCATGAACATTTTTTATTTAAAATTATTAAATATTATTTAGTTTTATTGAACTAATAGACTCGAAAAGTTAATAAAACAAACTAGTTATACAACTAAAAAAATCAAATAAATTAAATCCTATGAAATGTTAGGTCGGGAATTGATAATTCATACATCTTTCAGGTCTTGAATTGATAAAATCCCGTTGTTATAATATGTTAGGAAGCTTTGTAATTACATACTAGTTTATGCTTAATGTGTTAGGATGTTTTCTTTTAGACTGAAATTTGTTGGTTTGAACTGATCTGGTCTGGTAAACGTCGGTCTATGTGTATTTTATAACTACGGAAGTCAAGTCTGGTCTGATCTGATCTGGTGTGGGACTGAAGACCGTTCCTTATGTCATTTTGGCATTTGCAGGATAGCCCGGGTGGTGGTTTCATATTCGGGTTTGGAAGGAGATCGAAGTCACCGGACCCTACGAGTTTGACACGAAAAAAATCCTATCCTTATCCTCCTCCATGACACTGATTATCCCGCCTGCGGGGAGAGTGCATCGCTCTGACTAACAAAAAATGTCTTCCTCTTGGCCTCTATTTTCTCCGGTCAATTTCAGCCCACTTTCTCCAACAAAGCTCACTAAACTCCATCACAGACCAGTCGTCTCCGCCGTTCCGCCGCTTTCCACCTCCTCCGACGTTTCTGCCGTTACCGCAGCCTTCGATGGTACCACTCTTGCCTTCGTCGGAGGAGGCTCCGCGGCTGCGCTGGCAGCCCTGCTCTCTCTGGCGGACCCCGAGAGGAGGCGGCAGATTCAGGCTGAAGAGGTCGGCGGCGGAGACAAGGAAGTGGTGAAGGAGTACTTTAACAACGACGGGTTCCATAGGTGGAAGAGGATATATGGAGTGGGCGACGACGTGAATAAGGTCCAGCTGGATATCAGATCGGGGCACTCGAAAACCGTAGAGAATGTGATGAAGATGTTGACCGTCGAGGGTTCTCTGACGGGAGTAACCGTCTGCGACGCAGGATGTGGGACCGGGTGTCTGTCGATTCCGTTGGCCAAAGAAGGCGCCATTGTATCGGCGAGTGATATTTCAGCTGCTATGGTTTCTGAAGCCAAGGAAAAGGTAAATGTAGCATTCGTTTTGAACTTCTAAGTCGTTATCCCTTCTAATTCTATAAGCAGTAGTCTTCACCTGAGATATGGAGAAGTTTCTCTTCTTCCCCCTTTTTACCTCTCCCAAGTTTTTTGAATTATCTATAGCTAACCCAACTAGATTGATGTTGACTTAGTTAAGTTCCTTACACGCTGTATATAGCTGCAAACTGTATGCTTTCTAGAATTTTGTCATTGTGGAATTAGAATGGGCATAGCCTACTCTGATGAGATTAGGATTAAAATGTACTCCTGTTCAATTATCGATGTACAATTACAGTTTTGAAGTTAACAAACAAATGGTTGCGGCTTAAGTAATTGTGCAAAGTGCATTTGTCATCACTTAGTTGTCACAAAAGCTCATAGATTTGTTGTCTCATAGGTGCACATTACTTCTGTGACTTGACATGATTATTAGGATAGTAAAATTTTGTTGTTGAGATTTATTTGGAAAAGATAGAAAGATCAACCACAATTAATTTTCTTGAACGGAATGTGGAAGATTTTTTTGCCTATCAAAAAAAGACAATAGAAAGACAATATTAGTATAAAGGGAATTTAAGCAACCAAAATACTACGGAGTATGTTTCAATGTCACAATTGGAATAGCTTTCTTACTTCAATGAGATTGGTAATGGTGTAGTTAGGTCGAATTACAGTAATACAAGTACATACTCTCTAAGCCATCGTTTGTTTTCTGGGAAATATTTTTGCAATGTTTTCTAGTTCCATATTTTCGCAATCATAGTGTTTTGTAGATCCATATACCGGGAAAACAAAAAACATTTCCCCCGAAATACTTCAAGAAAAACATATTTGAAGAAATACTTGTGATTAGCGCAGGAATGAAAATATTATTTTACTGTTTTTAGACTCTTTGTATAAATGACTTCCTGCATTGAAAAGGGAATGTTTTTTCCTAAAATAATTTTATGTTTTCTATTTTGTGGGTCAAACATTTTATTATACACAAAAAAACTTATTTTCAAGAAAAACACATTTTTCAGGATAATATTTTCTAGGAAACAAACGGACTCAAAGCTAACACAAATCAGTTACGGGTTAAGGAGTTGTACAAGTGCATTGCTATGACCTAGCTTTGTTTTCTTAATGGAATAACCCAATAAATGGGAATGTCAAAATTTTCTTTTGACATTATAAACTGTCAAACTAATGCCAGGCTGAAGAAGAAATTTCAAAGAGAAGAGACAGTGATAAGCTCCCTACAATGGTGATGCCCAAGTTTGCAGTAAAGGATTTGGAAAGTCTAGAGGGGAAGTACGACACTGTTGTGTGCTTGGATGTGTTGATACATTACCCACAGAGCAAGGCAGATGCAATGATAGCTCATCTCGCATCTTTGGCTGAGAATCGCTTAGTTCTAAGCTTTGCTCCAAAAACATATTATTATGAGATCTTGAAGAGAATAGGCGAGTTCTTCCCTGGGCCTTCAAAGGCTACAAGGGCGTATTTGCATGCTGAAGCTGATGTAGAGCAAGCTTTGGCAAAGGTGGGGTGGAAGATAAGGAAGAGAGATTTAATAACAACACGATTTTACTTCGCACGGCTTGTTGAGGCTGTCCCTGCTGGTTAGGTTATTATTAGGAGCGCAATGCCAGGTCCTAATATCAAATTATGTTTTTAATTAAGCCCTTTCCTGAATCTCTCTAAGAAATGGTCTTTATCAAATACGAAGTATCAATTGTGCTGGGATGATTTAATATAACTGTAGATTACAGGATCTGCAGAGTCCATAGTAGATTCGACGATTATGTAAAAAGTATATTCCGTTTTTTAATCAGTAGAATTGGAGCAGGCAGGAAGGAATGTGTAAAATGATGTGAGATTATGCTGACCATGACCTTCTTGGTATCTCTACCGTTTAATGTGAGGCCAAAGATTTGAACCGATTCAAGCTTTTGTGGTTCTGAATTACGTACTTGGATCAGACCATTGCGAACAATTTTTGTGTACAAAAACGGTATTTTGTCTGTTAGAAAATAAGATTTGTATTTCCATTTAACTTTCCTTCATGACTTCATCCCTTAATTCCCTTCAAAGAACCTAAATTTAGGAGAGAAATAAGATAACAAACCTTGTATTTTTGCATCCCACATTCTTTCATTTTACGTTCTCGATTTCCACAATCCAAGTAGGCTTTCCTAGAGAAGGTTGTAAACTAGGTTCGAGCGGTTTAAGCTTGTTAGACACAAAAATACTTGGACAGTACTGCTTCAATGAAGACTAGTTCTTGATGTGGTGCATTATGGACCATGATCGAGCAAAAAACATGACATCCTAGACTTGGCCTGGTACGCATTAAACTCTGGAACTAATAAAGAATGAGCCTATTAGTGTTGCAAATTTCTTTCACAAGTCCAAGCATGCACAACTTGACAAAGTACTAACCATTCTATCATTTCTATGTAGGCATTGTAACTTGATGGAAAAGTATATATCAACCTTCATGTTTCTTAACTACATGAAATTCTTTCATTCGTTTTGGAATGTACAATATCAAACTTATCATGACCTCTCTTATTTAGAGAAATATTCACCTATTTGCAGCCCAAATCAAAAGTGGTCCTACCGGAAACTTATAACATCTCATAACATCTTCCAACACAGGTTTAATGCACCAAATCCCCTCATAGTATATAAATTTATGCCTTAGCCTTGTATGCTTTGAAAAATGAATTAAACCCCATTAGTATTTTTGTATAATTATTTCTTGACAAATAATTATTTGTACATAATTTACTGACAAATTTACTTGCACATAATTATTTCTAAATTGCTAAAGTTGTTGATTTAGAGTGTTATTTGTATATCACGGGTGAATTTGGCGCATTATATCTATCCGAAAATCCGATACTGTTGAACTATGTTCAATGTAAATAACTTGTTGGTTCCATCACTGTCTGATCTAGTAGCTTTTGGGCTCACGTCTGATCTACTACCTCCGTCCCAATGGACTTTGCACTCTTTGAATTACCTGAGAAATAAAAATATTAAAAATTGTGTGGTAGAGGTTTGTGCAGAGGATAGAGAAATGAACAGAACAACAAAGTAATTACTTTAATGGGAAAGTGACAATGTTTTTTGGAATAACCAAAAAGGAAAAGTTGGCAAAGTTCAATGGAACAGAGGGAGTATGTTATTGAAAAAATTTCCACTTATAATACGTCACCAACTTCGGGCTTAGGATAAATAGAGCACCTTTCAGGGAATATTACAACTCAGTGAATGTGAATCTAAGAGATCAGACGTGCTACACAATATCCATCCAGCAAAGAGTTAGCTCATCTAGAGCAACCCTGTCTAGCTATTTTGTTCTTTTCCTACTCTTCCTCTCAGTTTGGGGTTCTTTTGCTTTCAAATCATCACGGAAGGATCTCAATGTGGCAGCAAGGTGCTTGTTTCGATGTGCTGTAAAAGGAAAACAGAAATATAGTGGTCATGAGTGTTATTCATAGAGAAGTATTGAGTTAATGATAACGCCGAGTAACAATGAGACAATTTTAGAGTTAATCCTCCCTCATTTCGTGAAACTTAAAAATTTAGGTAAAGCTCAAGCAAGCAACATCATCCACTCACTTGAAAGTATGACATCTTCCATATTAACTGACTTGCGGCCAGCATGCTGTGCAAATAACTCAAGATCCTTCGCCAACTGTTCTGCTCCCCAGGCAAAGCAAGTTAATTTGTGAGTGCCCAACCTAAACTCTCAATATGTTTATTATGAGCTACAGTGCTAAGAACAGTAGGATATCATACACCTAAAAAAGAAAATTTATATTGAGTTGAAAGGTAAACTATGAAAAGCAGCAGGAAAATGCAAAAGTTTGAACTCGACCAAGTATTTTGCCCCCAAAATGCAATGTCCGCAGCTAGTTACCAACCAGTATGTGTTTATGCAGTTGCAAAATTTTCAAAATTGGCTATTGTTTCAAGGAACCAAAACATAACTAGGAGCGTGTGTTCAAATAGATCAGAATATTGAGAATTGGACTTCATATGGTTATCTGATGCAAAACAGAAAGGGCAGTCGACAGTCGTGTTTAAGACATCCACACAATGGGAAGCAATCTATGCTAACCAGTATTTGTAGTGTAGCAGATAATATGTTGGAATCTATGTGCAATAAAACATAATAAGAAGAATAATGCACAATCTTATATGTTGGATTATTACTTTTATATTTAACTGATGTGCTACAATCACTTCAACACACCTTCTTCATTTAAACCGGACTGAGCAACGTGAGAAATGTTAAGCCGTGATCTTATATGTTGTATTATTATTTTATACGGAGTACTACATACGATAGTATTTAAGTTATGTGAACAAACAATTCAACACGTCCACTAGCACTTCTACTCTGTCTAAACCGGGAGAGGTGAGAAAAATAGGTCAAATCGGCCCTAAATGGACTACCAAAACCATATAAGCAAGCAAACTAACAAACCAAAATCAAATAGTCCAGAATCTTATAAGTTGTGTTAATAGTTTCTATTTCAACAGTGTGGGATAAACACTTCAAAGACATGTACTCCTCACAGGTTAAAGCAACAACTATATTTTCAAAATGAAATTTCCCACATAATGTTCACAAAACAGAATTTGTAGTTATTGTCAATGCTGTTATCTATACGCCCTAAAACTAAGAATCCTGAAGGAGAATGACTAATTAAGTGTGCCTGGTCATGTGTCTTCAACTTTGTTGCTAATTTTTCAAGCTGCATTTGATCAATTGATCATCATCTAAATGAAACGGGTGACTAAATAATCTATGATGTGTATTATGGGGTTTCATCTTATTTTTAAAAACCAGTCCTTCAAAATGTATATTTTCAATGTATCATCTGTCAAATTAGAGCAAAGAAAATGACGTCTTTAATGCATGGTGATATGAACACTGTAGATGCATATGTTCTGGAAGGTTACCTACCGGTGTATTTGAAGGCTAAATCGGCGATGCAAGCCACAATTGGTTGAGAAATTTCCATATCATTTCGCTTCGCTGATCAAACATCGCAACATAATTAGACTTTATCCGGGTAAAATAACAAATCGTGAACTTCGTATATAGAAATTAAACTACATCCGGTGTGCATGAAGAAGATTAGGTTTTTAATAAAAACCCACCTTCGGCTTCGGCAATGGAGATGGTGCAGAGCCGAAATTGTTGGCAAAGGCGCTCTTTAGCTTCCGCGGCGGCTTCATCGTCCTCTCTCTCTTCCCCGCTCGACATAGCTACGTCTTCCCATCCTCCTTCCATTTTTTCCTCTACTAGCCGTCTAGTCTGTCCGTTAATCTTCAGCTATGACCAAATATTTTGGGCGGCATTCGATCCATCCACGTTGCGCGTGACGGAGATTAAGGTTTAATCTGTTCAAGGATGTTTTCCTAAAAGAGCCCTAACAAGATGACACCCGTCCGGCCGTCTTAAGCACACGTTTACTTCACGGGTTACTAAACAGTTTTTATTAAGACCCTTGTTAATAAGCGGCACATAAAATAAGCAATATTGTAAGATTGTATTTACTTCAAAGGGTTTAAAACACCGTTTAACATCAAAATGTCCAAAATGACCCTATACATACATAGACGCACAAACATTCATGAACACGATTATATAATATAATAAGTGGGGTCACCTCGAACGTGTACCCATACCCCTAACCCCTAACCCCACTCATACCTTACCCCTTACCCCACCCTACCCCCTACCACTTGCCCCTGCCTCGGCCCCACTCTGATCCTGACCTCACCCTACCACCCTATACCCATGTACCTTCCCCTACCCTACACCCTACACCCTACACCCAATTCCACACCCTTGACCCCTACCCTACCCTCACCACGATAGGGGGTGGGTGGGGGTAGGATGGTGGTAGGGTGGGGTCGGGGTGAGGTCGAGGTGGGGGCATGCGGTGGGGTGGGGGGTGGGGTAGGGTGGTTGTGGTGGGGTTGGGATCGGGGTGGGGCCGAGGTAGGGGCAAGTGGTAGGGGGTTTGGGTAGGGTTGTGGTTAGGGGTAAGAGTGGGGATGGTGGGTAGGGTTCGGGGTAAGGTAGGGCCGGGGTAAGGTAGGGTCGGGGTAAGGTAGGGTCGGGGTAAGGTAGGGTAATGGGGTAGATGGCGGTAGGTGGGCTAGGATCGGAGTGGGGCCGGGGTAGGAGCATGTGGTAGTTGGGTAGGGTGGGGTCAGGATAAGATAGGGTAGGGGTAGATGGCGATAAGGTGGGATCGGGATCGGGGTGGGGTCGAGGTAGGGGTAGGGTAGGGGTAAGGTGGGTTGGGGTAAGGTAGGGTAGGGTGGCGTCGGTAGGGGTAAGATGGCGGTAGGGGCCGGGATCGGGGTGGGGCCGAGGTAGGGGCATGTGGGGGTGGGGTGGAGTTGAGGTGATAGGGATGGCAGTAGCTATGGATCGGGGTGGGGGCCGAGGTGGGGGCATGTGGTAGGGGGTGGGGTAGGGTCATTGTATGGAAATGGGGTACATGTGGGGGTGGGGTAATGGTAGGGGGTAGGGGTAAGGGGTAAGGTACGAGGATGGAGGTAGTGGGTAGGGTGGGGTCGGGGTCATAGGGTTGGGCGGGGTAGGGGTAACAATAGGGTAAGGGCAATGGGTAAATTCGGAAACTGAAAAAGCTTAAAGTGCCGCTTAATTAATACATGGGGGGTATGCTTAGTAAGCGGCACTTTAAGCACTTCTTTCGGTTAGTAAGCGGCTTTTTGAGCAGCGTGCGTGTATACTTCACCTGTCTTACTAACCTAACTATGACTTTAGCAGCGAAGTAAACACCCCCTAAGGCTGGTGGGATAGTATTGCAAAGGGAAAATGGACATATATACCCTTATACTATTAGTGTGGAAACACATATATCCTTATACTGATTTTTAGAACAAAAAGCTGATAAAGTTAAAATTGAGGTACAAATACCCCTCCCTAACGTTTCAAGACTTTCCCGTTAACCTAACGTTGACCTATCACTCAAAGGATTGTTTAAGGCTTACGGCTTGTTTAAGATCGAGCTACTCATTCAATGGACTCATTGAGTCACTAAAGTCACCAAGTATTCACCTGAGTAATGTGATATCTTGAATTGGACAGAGTAGCTAGAAAACTGAACAAAGTATAATGACGTGTCCTGAGTACTCGATGAGTACTCACTTATTAAATAACTAACATAGCTAATGAATCACTTCTCTTAAATGAAAACATATCATTTTCCTCTATCCTTAGTTCCTAGGTCCTTTACTGATTTGAATGTTAAATCCCCCAAACTGGCTTTGAAGGATTTGAATCCATCCCAATTTCTTCCCACATACTTTCTGTCTCTATAACTTTGTGTGTATACAATAACTTTATCTATGGAGGAGCTATATTTCATGTTGATTTATGTGAATTGATTTCTTGGCATATTTTTGTTTTTTATGTTAGAGTAAAAAACTATTGTGATGTGCTAGAGAAGTAGAAGATGTCTATACTAGACCAAGAGGTTATGTCACTGATGATGAAGAAGAGAATGAAGATGGGGCTGAGAGTGATAACGACTCAAGTGACGATGAAAATTGTGAGGATGCTGATGGTGATACACCTCTTGAAAAAGTCATACGTGAAGAGGGAGATAAACATTGGCAGTTAGGCATGACATTTTCGAATGCTAAGCACACAAGAGAGGCAATTGCAGAATATGGGCTGGCTCAAGGTGTAAACTTGAAAATTTATTCTAATGAATCAACTAGAATAAGAGTTAAATGTGTTAACGAGGACGACTACCCTTTTCACATATTTATTTCGAGAGATGGAAGGAACCCATGGTTGGGAATAAAAACTTTGGTCAATGAACATAGGTGTTGGAGACACTACACACTTCCAAGTGGTTCAACTAATTTCATAGCAAGAAAATTTAAACAAAAAATATATCTTAATCCTAATTATAGGAAGAAAGATATGGTTAAAGAGTGTAAGGAAACTTACAAAATTAATTTTAGTTTAGGTAAGTGTAAACGAGCGAAAAACTGATCAGAGAGGAGTTGGATGGAAGCTTTTAGGCGGAATTTGGATATTTGGCAGCTTATGCAGCTACATTAAAAACAAGCAATCCAGGAAGTACTATAGAAATTTAGTTGTGTAAACAAGGTTTGAGTGAAGGAAAAAAGATTTTCAAGAGAATGTTTGTTTGTTTTGAAGCGTTGAAGAAAGAATGGATGCATGGCTGTAGACCAATTATAGGTTTAGATGATTGCTTCCTTAAAGGATTAACTAAAGGTCGAATTCTGGCAGCAGTAGGTAGGGATGGTAATGATCAGATGTACCCTATAGCTTGAGCAGTGGTTGGGAAAGAAAATAAGGATAATTGGAAATGTTTACTATTCCGGCTTGCTCAAGAACTTCATTTGGGTGATGGAAATGTTATTCTTAACGTTTAGTTTTCAAATTTTAACAAAAACAACATGATATTGAAATCCATACATTTTACAGGGTCTAATTGATGCAGTAAAACTGGTGCTTCCTATTTCTGAGCACAGATTTTGTGCAAGACACATTTTGGCCAATTGGGGTAAGAGGTGGCATGGGGATGAACTGAAAAAGAAATTTTGGATTTGTGCCTGGTCAACATTTGAAGAGGAATTCAAGGACAATTTATCTAAACTTGGTGAGATAATATCAATACTTAATTTTGTGTGTTGAATTAATTTTCTGCCATACAATAAGTTTTAATTTTGTTTGTGAATTTTTAAGGTTTCCAAAAGTGCCCCTGAAGATTTATTGAGGTACACTCCCTAGTTTTGGTAGGTGCTAGTCACACATTGTTGATAATAACACAACTGAAAGCTTCAATTCTTGGATTATAAAAGCTAGGCACAAACCAATAGTGTCTATGTAAGAAGACATTAGAGTGTTGTGTATGACAAGAATTAAGGAAAATAAGGATGCCATAATAAATTGGTTCAATGATTGGACCACAAGTGCAATGCAACTGTTGGGTGATAACAGAGAGATAGGAAGTGGTTGTAGGGTTACATTCAATGGAGAAGCAGGATATGAGATAGGAGAAGGGGATGATAAGCAGTGTCGGCTCTAGCGGTTTGGAGGCCCTAGGCGAAAAACATTCAAAAAGACCTCTATATCATAATAAGTCTCCGACTAGGCTTTTCCGGTAATTTAAAATTAGGAGATTTTTTACACTGTAGTTGTACTATTTACTATATTAAATAACTTTTGGGTAGATTTCTTTCAAAAAATGAAAGTGTGACATTTATTTTGATAAAGTCAAAATGGAAAGTGTGACACTTACATAAGACATAGTCATAAAAATAAGATGAAATAGTAATTCAAAATCGCATTACCATTGCCAACAATTTTGAGGAAGAAATTAAAAATTTGTCTTTACAATCGATCCATAGAGTCAGAAAGCGATTTAATACCCAAATCTCTTTTGAACATATTATTTCTCTTTATATATTCATAGCCAAATTCTCTTTAACTGTCATGGCAATTCCTACATATTTAGAATAATATTTATAGATAGTAATTAATAGAAAACACATCAACAAAAAATATATATAAATAACAATTACAATTAAAATAATAAAATATTAGTAGCCAAATAACTAAACACACAATACTATCGCAATTATAAAATATTATTGCAAAACATAAATGATTAATAGTGATTAATGAGTAGCAAAAGTCCGGTGTTATTTACAAACTTGCAACCATTAGTATGTTTTTTTCGTATGATTATTATTCATTACCCCAAAAAAATACTCCGTATTACTCCAAAGGAGCACAAAATTTAACACTCCGTGCTAGTTCGTTACAGACTTTCAAGCCAACTACGCAGACCCCCACTGTGAATAAAAAATTACTCTATAATGCTCCATACTTCCCTAGCTTACTTTTGTATTTGAGGCCCCCCAAAAAAAGGGAGGCCCTAGGCAAGTGCCTAGGTAAATTGGCCTCTTGGCCGGCTCTGATGATAAGCATATTGTTAAACTTGATAGACAACAATGCTCTTGTAGGTATTGGGAATTAACTGGCATCTCTTGTCCACATGCATGTTGTGCCTTATTTCATAGTAAGATAGATCCATTAAATGTATTGGAGAAGTGGTATCACAAACATACCTACCTTAGAGAATATGAGTTTCCAATACAACCTGTCGCAAGGAGAAAGTTCATGCACTGTGAAGAAATCCCTGCAATTCTTCCTCCACCATTTGTTAAGATGCCTGGAAGACCACACAAGAAAAGAATGAGGGAGGGGGGGGGGATGAGCCACCTGCAGCTTCTTCATAAACTAAAATGACCACAAAGGGAAGAAAGCTAAGTTGTAGTTTGTGTTTAGTTGTTGGTCATAATAGTAAGACTTGTTGATGTGA